TCGGTAGACATTGTCCTTGTCTGAGCCAATTAAAAGGATAGACCTGAGGAGGCATTTGTACGTAATATTTGTTAGAGTTCTACTTTTCAATTGCCTTCTGAGCTCAAAGTAACACTTGTTGGTAGGAGTTATTCTTCGCTTGATCTTCAGGCTGACATTATTGGTGTTTTTGTTACTGGATCTACTGCTAGACAAAGTACTTCACTATCTCAAAATTGCTGCTGCCAATAGTGGCACGAGTCCCAATACGCGAAGACGTCTTGCTTGTTGCCAGGACCAATCTCTTTTGCCCCGTTCTACACATAATTTGGAAGGTACTGCGCTGATGTAATTTCATCTGTATTCGCTAGCAACGTAGACCTCTAGCTGTATATTTTGCCCCTTCGTATTGACAACTCGCCTACATAAGAATGAAAAAGTCGCATGAAAGTGAATACCGCTCTCAAAACCGCGTCTGGGCCCGAACAGTGCGTAGGGGTCCTTCACAATTTGGACGAACCTAAAAGTTATACTAAAGGTCACGCTATATTATTTTGCGAGGATACAAAACTTAGATATTACGTCCATATACATTATGTGGCACCTGAAAGCCGTTGGGAGCGTCATCTCTACAAGAACTAGCCGCAATCTTGAAACAATTGTTTTTTTTTTTAGAATCTCCGCTCAAAATTTCTGCCAGCCAATGTCTCAAGCTCTTCGAAGTCAAGACTTTCTGTATCTGTTATCTTTTTTATAAAAAGGCCCATTTCTTCCCTTCGCTTGTCCTGGTATTGCTCAAATGAAGCATCGCCATTAGCTGCAGTTGGGCGTTTTGTACGTTGCATACTTCCTGCAGCTGTTTCGACGTTCGTGGTAGTAATTGGAATGGACGTAAAGATTGCTCGAAGTATATCGATAGTGATTAATTGGGTTTTTGATGATGGAACATCCAAGTGGCTTTATGTTTGTTTCGATGCTGGTATCCATTAACTACCATGTTTCGTGCTACGGCGGAGGTATTGGCATGAAGGCTAAATTTTCCGACTGTTGAACTGAATATACCTTATCTGCCCTCTCTAGCGACAAAGCCGTCTAGCGCTCATAAAATCATTAATTCTGATATTGTTGAACTTAGAGTTAATGCGAATCGCAGTCCTCGTTTCGTTTTCAGGGGTCGTCAACATGTGGGAGGTCACTATCCGAGGCTTGGGAAGTCTGTTCGTTGCAAAGGCTTTTTTAAGTGGCCGGCCCCAATTTCAGCGCACAACTAGTTGCTAGGAGGGGTTCCACGCTCCACAGGTTGGTTCCCGCATCTCGCACATAGGCTGCTCACGTTATCCAGAGGGCGCGAACGGTGACGCAAGCATCGGATTTGAGTATAGTTGTGCAGCTGATAACTTCATACCTAGAAGAACGACCATAACCCATTGCACTCTCTTGAAGAATTGTTCCTTAAATCTTAAAGCAACCTCATGAGGTCATGGTTAACGCTTCTGTCCCATATATATTTATTAGAGCAAGCATGGTGAGAGACTTGTTGACATGATTCTGCATTTAAAAGCATTCATGTGAGGATTGCAAATGATCTTTATTGTTGTTTACTGGGTGTAAATTTGAAGATGTATTTACGAGTTATGTATGTATTTACATACATACATATGTGCCCCTCAAGCATATCTATGGACATTCGTATGTATATATTTACATATGTACATATACGCATGAGTATGCTCCATTTACAATCATGTGCGGGAGCAAATATCTTTAAATCTATGTAGCCATTTTCACAAATCCGAAATAAAAAAACTTAAGACACAGTTGCACCGGTCGCAATTCAGAGCAATGACGATGACAATTGTAACGATGGTGGTACCCAAAGTTTAGGCCAACACGGCATCACTTCTTACATACATACATGCATTTGTGCGTACAGTCACAGCAGCACCATCGCACCAGCAGCCGCATTGAAGGCAGTAGCAGTCAAAGTGCTATGGTCCGTCCCAAGTATGCACTAGCAAACCACAGCTGGTCGGTCTTCAACACGTAGCTGTTGGATGCTGGCAGGTGATGCCAATCAGAGCTACAGCCACCAAAAGGCGAAAAGTCCAGGTCTTCTTGCTACACACACCTCAAGCGCATGCGTGTGTGTTCATCATGCATACATACATAGTTAGTATGTACTAGGGCACTCATTCCCAGACACTTTTACATGTCCCGAAATCCCGTGATTACAGCTACAGGATGCCGAAATTTTTAATATTTTTTTATAGAGTGGAAGTGATTTTGAAAACGAGGAAATGAATTCGCGTTCATTTGACGTTAAAAATGAATAATAGAGGACACCAAAATTGGGTTCAAAATGAACTTGAGTCATTTGCACGCAGAACCTGCCACAATAACTGTATTTGTTCAAACATTTTGTGTAAGAGCTGTGCCAAAATGAAAAATCTGGTAGCAATTGAAAACGTTTTACTTTGTTGGCGTAGTTTTGTATAAAATGATATCTGTAAATATGAGTAACTGTTTATTGCAATTAATATAGATATTTTAGAATACTATAAAAATATAAATTTTTTTTACGTTAAATTGCTGACTCTTTTACTAAGATGCATTATGCTGCGCGTAAGATCAAATGTAGCAACAATGAATCCGTGTGGTTTCATTTTTTGAATGCTGAGAACGATCAGCTTGCTACAAAATGCAAAAAATTGTTATAAAATACAAAAATGCCGAGATCCCGGGTTAACAAATTTTCGCTTCCCGAAATCCCGGGATTGTTAAAGTTGTTCGGGATTGAATGCCTTAGTATGTACAAACTGAATATCAGCAGCAACAACAAGTGCGTCCGCTCCTTTATGGGCTACACTGTTCATTTATTCCATTTTTTTCATGTACATACATACATACATGTGTACTAGTACACTTTTTTTAAGTTTATTTAACTCTACTTTTTTTTAGTAGTTTTTTTTACTCGTATTTTACGGCAAGACAGTAAACTTTTGCGCGCGAACAACAGTAATCACCACTACTGCTATTGCCACACTACCCACTCGATTGTTGCTCCGCTGTACTGTCATGTTGCTGCAACATATCGATCTCCATATTGGTGTTTGTTTATGATTCGCTCGTTTGTAGGCCTTTGTTGTTTTTTCGTTTTACTTAACTTGTGAGTTGCTTAGTTGGTTATTTGGTAGTACTTGTTCGTTTGCTTGCTTAGTGGGTTCTGTTTTATTTATTAATTTGTTGTTTTGCTTTTTTTCTCCATTGATTCTCAGTCCGTTTGCAAGTAGTAACTGCAAGACACGAGTATGTTTAATTTAATCTACGAGTATCTCTCACACTTGGGCTCCGGCGACATGTAGTTTTGGCCATTTCATTAAATTTTCAATTGATATTTTGTACTGTTAAAAGTTAATGGCTTCCTTTGGGTTTCATTAGCAGATTTATACGCGCTCGTAAGTTGTATGGGTGTAAGTGCAGGTAAACGGTTAACATGTGCGTTTATGAATCGGCAAATTGACATCTGAAAGTTATGATTTACTGCTGTGTATTTAACAGTAATTTAAGGAGTGGAACAATTAATCTACAATAGGAGTGGAGTTATAATTTATTTGCTTTTTTTTTGTTTTCGTCTGTGGGTAAATCAAGATATTTGTCGCATAAAGACGATTTATTAAGGAACCATAAGTTCCGACGGCTAAGAACGTAATATTTTTAGGTACTTAGTAAAGATATTACATATAATATTTGTAAAATTAAATTGAAACCCCTAATTTTGTGCAGACAAAGGCCCGCAGAAACTACTCTGTCAGATTCGCTTGAATGTAGAGACAATAAAAAATAAGAATTTTTGCGGAAAACATTTTTACAAGAATTTTGATTGATTTTCTCTTCGCAAATTAGGAAATCAAATCGCAAATTTCATAACCACTTTAATTATAAACCTGTCTAAAAATATTTCTGAGTAAAGTGTTGAAAACAGCTCTCATGTACATACATATCGTCACCTGAAATGCAAAATAACGTAACAACATCACTGAAATGGAAAATTCGTGACCAATTTTTATTTCTTTTTTTTTTTTATAAACCGATGTGGGGAGTTGTAATTTAATGAAATCCATCATAGCAATCGAAAAGCGAATTTTGAATTTTTTATAAGTTACGACTTTTTGAATTTCAGGTGACGATATGTACTTATGTATTAGGTATATAGGTATATTTTTTATATTTTCCACCCACCTCAGCAGAATATCGGAAATAAGGAGAACCGTATTATTTATTCTGAAATTGCTATAAAATCGTTAAAAATAAATATTTTTTATCTAATAAAAATATTACCCTTCCAAAATATTTTACCAATAAAATTATGATGCTTATTTAGCTTTAAAATTGTATAGTTTTTTCATAGTATCTCTCTCTTTTTAAAGAAAAAAATTTGTTTTTTATGTGTTCGAAACCGCAACACACAAGTTTTAAAAAAAATATTTAGTTAGTAAAATTTTAGAGTTCAATTTAGATCATAATTCTACTGTTGGAAGATTGTGAAGGCAAATATTGTTTGTAATATTTTTGCAGCAATTCTACGAAAATATGTATTTTCCCTTTATAAAATATGTTTATGGAAAACTTTAAAGCCCCAGTGGCATGGTCATATATTAACCGATCTCTTAATAAAAATTACGGGTCTCTTTATTTCCAATTTTCTATAAATCGAGAAAATTTTTAAAAACTTGTATTTTTTTGGACCACACTAATACATGCATAGGTATATATGTATGTGCATATACAAATATCTTTTTTCTATCGAAGAACTAATCACCTTATTCTTACTTTAGCCATACTCTGAAGCAGCTGCAATTCTGCATATTTTATCTTTTTACTCATAAATAAATAGCGAATATCCTGTACTAATGCTAGTACTAATACATAAGTGTCTATCTACATACCTATTGCAAGCTCCTTGTTTGTATTTGAAATCATATTCTAAAGTTATTGTTTCCTCTTTAATTTTATGCTTTCAGGCTAAAAACGCTTTGGTAAGAACACCTGCTCGCCACGGTGATGCTCTACTCTTCAGTCCAGCCAGTTATTCGCCAATGTAAGTAAGCAATGCTATAAACATTAAATATAGTGCAAGCGTACATACATTTATTACGATGATTTGATTCATATGTATGTATATTAAGACCGTTCAATTTATTTATTACTGCCTGGTAGTAAAGTGTACATTAGGGTGGTCATTAAATGTAGAAAGCAAATTTTTACATCCGATTTCCTAAGTCTGGACCCCTTCTTCGATGCTATTATAGTAGAAGATATCATATATAAATTTTGGTCCCGATTGAAGTCGGTCAAGGCGTGCCGCACAGGGGTCATAGTTCAGATTAACCTATGAAAACATCGTAATTGATTCCAATCGGGACCAAAATTTATATGTGATATTCTCGACTATGGTGTATCGATTTTGGGTACTAGATAAAAAAAAAACTTCATGTTAATTTTTTGAGTGGCCATATAGGAAACTCAACCATTCCCCCCGTGGGACACGCCTTAACCGTCTCCAATCGGGACCAAAATTTATATGCGATATCTGTGACCCTGGTATTACCGATTGAAGGGGTGAGACTGAAAAACCCCATTCATTTGATTTTTTAAGGATCATCCTAGTATATATATATACACAAGCACAAGTTTTAAAAAGTCTACATATAACTACATTCAAACTTGCCAGGAAAGTCTCCTAGATACTTAGGACATTATTACTTAGGTCATTTTGTTATATGGTGTGATATCCAAAACACAAACGTTTTTGAGATATGTATTCGATTTTAAAGATCATTTAAAAAATCATCAATAAAAAAACATATTTGCTTAGACGTTCACTTTTTTTAAATATTAGTTCAAGGGTCCGATTTTTTCGGGTTTTTGTTAAAGAGTATGTCAATTAATAGAAATCATCAATAAAACGTGTACCCAGCCCTGACAGTTCAAAATGGCTGCTTGGTAAAGTTTTCAATTTACGATTTTTCACTAAATATGAAGCTTAACATTATTAAATCAAAATTTTTTTTTAGTGGAACTATACTGTAAATTATAAAAAAGCATGTCTTTAGGAGGACCAAGAATCCTTTGCATTAACAACAAGAGTTTACGAGGTGTGCATATCCCGCGCTGTTGACTTTGAGTAGCTAGATCTATACTTCCACCGCTTAGACTTTGTTGCTCCTTTTTCCATTTTTCCTAACAAACAAATCGTGTTGGGAAATGCTTTCAGGACTGCCTGGCTGCCGCAGAAGAAAAATTTCATCAAGCGGTGTATGTCGACGTCAGACAAAGATGCGCTTACACAATTATCTTTGTAAGCATACTTAACCCCTTCCTTCCTTTGGCCATCTGAATAGTAAATTTGTATAACAAACATTGGGCCAAAGCAGACCAAACATACGGGGTTTCTAAATAATTCAATTGAAGCGCCATCTATTCCGTCCATTTTTTTATAGAAGCATTGCTTATTGCGAAATGAATGTGCATTATAAATTTCAACTAGATCGTACAATAGATACAGATTTTCTAAATAACTCGACTCCAGCGCCACCTAACGGATTTTTTCCGCAAACATATTTATCATAATGCAGGAAGCACACATTATGNCAAGCAGACCAAACATACGGGGTTTCTAAATAATTCAATTGAAGCGCCATCTGTTCCGTCCATTTTTTTATAGAAGCATTGCTTATTGCGAAATGAATGTGCATTATAAATTTCAACTAGATCGTACAATAGATACAGATTTTCTAAATAACTCGACTCCAGCGCCACCTAACGGATTTTTTCCGCAAACATATTTATCATAATGCAGGAAGCACACATTATGAATTTGGACCAAATAGGTTTATAAATACGACCTTTATGAATAACTCGATTCCAGCGCCTATAGTAGCTTATAATAGGAACACATATGCCAGGTATCAGCTCCGAAAGTTTGACTGAAATTTATCCAGTAGTGTTTGAGTTAAGGTTGAACATCGAAAACAGGTACTATTTTTATATAAATACATACTAAAAGATAACCCGACGAACTTCGTGTCACCTACATTTTTTTTATTATAACTTTTGATCAATTATAACAAAGTTTCAAAATCCAATTCATTGATATCACTAAAACTGCCGGCTTTGTCTAAAATTTTACTTCTGTAAATTACATAGTTCAACACAATTTGGTCGGATTTTGTCTGAAAAACGGGTGCTGATTTGAAGTGCATTTACAAAATTTTTCTGGCACGTCCAGGTTTTGAGAAAAAAATAGCAAAAATTGCAAATTTAAATTTTTTTAATAGAATTTGGACGTAGTTTTTCCAAAGATAAAAAAACACCGGGAATTGCAGCCGCCTAAAATCAAAGGGCAAGCCCGTTGGAATCATGGAGATACGCAGAATTAAAACATCCTCTCCTTTATATTTACTATTGATGATTGTTGCCTTGATGACGTTATTCATTACCTTTTTCACAGCCAGTCTCATTCCATTGCATAGTCGATAGTTGATAATGATTACGCAACATGATGATGACTGAGCCTATCTTTAATTTTAAATAGTGAAGTGGTAGTCCACGCGATTTCAACGAATTCAGAAATTCAGTGGGATAGATGACTACTTCATCCTGGTTGATAACGGTGTCAATTGATTTATAGGAAAATAGCTGTGCCGGAGTGAAGTTTTGAATTGTTGCATTGAGATCTTCAACATCTTTGTTTTTTTTTTGCGGCAATATTGCTCGTTCGCTCACGCATTTATGATATTTTAATTGTTGCTCGACGTTCGGAAAACACGCTTAAATCTGTGGGTTATCTGATGAATCCGGTCGAGGTATCAACTGCGACTTTCCCATGACCAATATCCAATAATTGCTTCGAAAACAAATCCAAACTTTGATCTTGTTGCCGCATCATAGTCGTCCAAGGGAGCGTTTTCACCTGTCGCCACAAATTGAATGATTTTAAGCACGCATTTAGTTCGTCAGCTGCAGTTGATCGTGTAATAACTGAAAGTGTCTAACTGAAAAACGCCGGACAACAGAATTATGGTTCCACCAAAAATCTTTTCGTTGTTACGATGATCTTTCAGAGTTCCGCCCAGTACTTCTAGTGAACTCTTGTGGGCCATCTTGCATTCGTCCCAAAGGATCAATTCACACACCTGCAGAATCTTCGCCATTGCACTGTTTTTTTTGCAATGTTGCAAGCTGGTGTCCCGTTGAATCTCTGATTTTCCATATGATGCTAATGCTGGGGCAATTTTATTCTGCGATCGTATCCTTGTCAGAATCAGTGAAATTAAGAATGTTTTTTCAATCCCTCCGGGAACATCCAGGAAGTAAATTCCAACATTCCAATGTCCACAACTTCTATCAAAGAGTTGTACGCAATTTTTTGTTATTGGTTCAATTGTGGAACATTTGTACGAACTGCTTCGGCTAATGCTTCAGATGTTGTTCTCTTTGTATCTCGTGGTTAAGTACATTTTTCGATTTGGTCACATTATACCCAAACATGATAGTACTTTGTTTGCCATCAATAAACACTAAACTTGACTGAGTTACAGTATTCCACATTGATGTGAGCCTCAAAATCGTTGGATAATATTGGCGAGCATGGCTTTTAGTTTTTACTGTTCAGATAGGTAACAGGCATATTGAAAATTCTGTTAAATCAAAAAATTTCCAAATACCTTTCGTTTGATGCCAATATTTTAATACATGCTTAATTTATCTTATCAATTTAATTGAATTACTAATAATAATAGATTGGCGCTTACACATATGTTAGTGTTTGGCCGAGCTTCTCCTCCGATTTGTGGCGTGCGCCTTGATGTTGTCACACAAAGCGTAGGGACCTACAGTTTTACGCCGACTCCGAATGGCGATTGTATTTTAATATGAAGCTGTTTTTCATCTTGGTTTTTCATGGCAGAAATACACTCGGAGGTTTGGCATTGCCTGCCGAAGGACGATGTTGCTTTGACCAGGGCTTGAACCCAGGCGTTGCGGAGTGGAAGCGCGCACTGCTTACCGCTACACCGCAGCGGCCGACAATCAATCAATTTAGTTGAATTAATAATAATAATACTAGATTGGCGCTTACACATATGTTAGTGTTTCGCTAAGCTTCTCCTCAGATTTGTGGCGTGCGCCTTGATGTTGTCACAAATTTAAACTTCCCTAAACCTCTTTAGTTTGATACCCATTTCGTAATATTTAATTTATCTCACCACTTTCATTTAATTAAATTTTTGAAACAGGTGGCAATCCTTCTCAAAAATATTTTCTACTTTAAGCCTTCTAAACCTCTTTCTTTTGACGCCCATATTGTAATATCTGCCTAATCTCATTACGTCACTTACACTGAGATTTTCAAAATTTCAAACTCTAAATTTGTTTTGGTTTTAAACCAGGTGCAATCCCGTATTCCTCGGACTAAAACTGGTAAAACTTAAAAAAAATACAAATTCGCTCAGAGCGAGAGAGTAAAATTGAAAAGTACGGGATCGCTTTCTAGTAAAAAATGGTAACTGCTGTCAACTTCAACATAACCTCCAAATTTTGGTTGTGAATTTTTTCTTATTTTGTATGTAAACACTTTCAAAATACCTTCAAATTCATTAGAATCCACTTATGGAGGTAATTAAATACTTTTCAACACAAATTAGCAGAGTGCACTATAGCTGATCGTTTGACACATTTACCAGAATTTACCAGCAAAAAATCTTCGGACTAAAACTGGTAACTTGTGACAGAGAGAGACGACCTTATTTACTCTCTTTTTTGTCCTCTCAATAGTCAGAGAACCGAGTACGGGATCGATTTCCAGTCAAATCTGACTGATTCTGTTTATTTCTGACTAGTCCGGACACGTACGGGATCGCAACTACCATCGGGCTACTATAGCGAACAAACCCAAAGAAAATTATTCAAACCGGTCCAGCCATTTTCGAGTTTTAGCTGGACTAACGGACAGCGATTCATTGTTATATTTAAGCTTATATAGATTTTGACAAGTCTTGTTGCAAATAAATTGGCGGCTGCTGTGGTTTAGTGGTTAGC